TCCTTTCTTGATGTAATCTTTTTGCTTCGTATTATATCATATTGCGTGTCCTTCTATTACATTATATTGCAGGGTATTATATTATATCTAATAGTATTGCATCATATTGTGTGCTTTGGTATGATATTGTATTGTCTTGTATTATATTGTGCCCAATAAAAATGCTCTGTTTGATATTGTATTGTATAGAACCGTATGGTAGTTTATCGTATTGAGCTTATGTTAACATAGGGGATGCAAAAGAAAATGAAGTTTATTTATGTAGTTTCTTATACATTCTTCTACACTATACAGTTTGATCCTGAGTGGGAAAGTCCTTCACGCTGCCTTTAAATCTGAAATGGGTTCATCTTTTTGGTATTGATTAAAATAAATGCCTAAGATTGTAAATGTCATGTTTCAGTGTAGGTTTTCAGGAATCTCTTCCGAGGGTCAGTCCAAAGTTTTTTTTGTCCCAGAATATGCATGATTGGAGTGTTTTAGGCACCAAATGTTACTCTAGCCTCTTGTGAATGAGATCCACTCCTCCCCATTTAGCCTCCAACAGCTTGACAATTGTGATGCCAATCAACTTAATGACCCAGTGATTGTTTTAAATTTTCATTCCCCCATGTTGGACACCATCAATCTGTTACACTGTGTGCTGATGTTTGCTCTGGGGAGTAGGTTAAAAAAATCACAGCACAGTTTGACTAAGTGAACACAAGCATCCACGGCTATTCCTAATGTCCATCGCTCACCCCTCCTCCCCCCTCCGCCTTTTTCTCCTCCTCCTCCTCACTCTCTTTGCATTGTTTTACCCTTTCCCTTGGACTTCAGGTAATAGGAAATGGCACTGACCCCTCCTGATCCCCCCGATTACCTTTGTGAAGCGTGAACGTGGAACGGAATCACACATCAGGAGACGATTTGTAATTATTTTTGCAATGCCATCAGCATGGATCAATCACTCAGGGATGCTGCCAGTGGAAATGCCGCTCGCAGCCATGGACAGAGCCAGCAGCGACCCTCTTTGACTGACAGCTTTGGTAATTAAGTGATTGTATAGACCCCTCTGACTGTTATAACAACCTTGTCAGGGCCAGTCTGCGTTTGGAAAACACTCAAATCAATGTGTTCCACCTTCCCCAGACAGAAGGAGTAAAAACAGAGACGTAACTTGAGTATTTGTCATGGCGAGCTTTGTTCAACACTCAAACAATGACAAAAATGCACCGATTATGCAGAATTTTTGGGTCTTTTATTTTGAAAGTAGCCCAGAAACGTCCGCACCTCAGATAAATAAAAATACGCAAAACACATTTTTTCCATATTTTAAACCACACAGTGTAGAATAATACTACCGGACACTTCTGATTGAACTTGAATGTCAAATGTTTCATTACAGCATGACTGGAAATTATATCTAGAGGCTGGAATAACCTACAATCTGTCCATCCTAAATGTCACATGGCTCTCACGCCGCAACCTTTCCTTCCAAAGCTCCCAGGATGTAATTTTGCGTAGAAATCTGATTCCCATCGTCATATCATCTTAGCCCTTTTTTCCCCATCACACGGAAATGAAGTGTTCTCCATTTGCCAGAGGAGCAGCGTGTGGTCCTGCATGTGTAATATGATCCCTAATATAGTTGTAAAAGAGAGTAATTGGTGTGAATAACCCCCACACCACCACCCCAACCATCATAATACTCACTTCACTGATTATATGATTGAACATGCTCATCATTTAAAACTCTTGTATAGACAGATGCAGACTTCTAATAGTTGGTAGGTTAACCCACAGTCAGTCACATGCTCTGGTTGTTATTAGCTTAATTCGATTCACAAATACAAAATGTGTCTGCATGCCTTATTGCAACCTGGGTGACCTGGAAACTAGGGGTTGGAATCACCAGTGGCCCAACAATATGATATTATCACAATACTTGTGCCACGATACAATATTATTGTGATTTTTATCATTTTGCAATACAGTGAGTATTGTGATACAGTATATTATGATTTATACAATTTTTTTCAACTGTTTAGCTAATTTAGCATTTGTCTTTCCTTTATACTTGTCTTATTTATGCTGTATTTTATTTTCATTGAGGACATCTTGCAAACCTTGTGTAGATTTGTTGCACTAACTTTCCACTGCTCTATGATTTCACCTCTGCCAACCTCAAACAGTTGATTTTATTTTTCCATTATCACAGATTTGACTTCATATTAACATTAATGTGAAAAACTTTATACCCAGTCAATGAGACAATACGATATATCACCAGACAAAATATCGCAATACTATGCTTTATCCTTTGTCTCTCCCACCCATACTGGAAACATACTTTCAGCTGTGGGCAGACATTTATAACAAATATAGTAACCAAACAGTGGACAAACACTTGACAGTAAGTACTTATGCCGACACAGTTGGATGAAAAAGGCCATTTCACAGGGTTATGGGTGTATTTTGAACACTTGTCACTTCCAAGAAGCATCAACCACTGTGACAATATAAAACATGAGTCCCTACATCATATGACCGCAGTGATAGAAATATCCAATTTCATTTATCAGTGTTTTTGTCACTATATTAATAAATACTTTTGATCAAACATTGTCAAAAAATGTTAAATGTAGCTAACAGCACTGCAACAAGCAACTGAGTTGTCCTTGAGTGACATTTTTTCTTCTCAGTTAACTTTTCAACACGCTGCAAAATACCTCCAAACTCGCCTGGAGGAGCCTGAGAGTTTAATAAGTATGACCTGTATCAAATGGTAACTGCACTGGGTATTGTCACATCATTGTTTACCTCACTGATATGGGACCACTTACTAACTGATGTGATATTTTGAATGCTGCACACGTCACATTGGATGTCAGCTCAGTATTTTTATGCCTCAGTTGTAAAAAGTGTAATATGCCTCAGATATGGCAGGCCTTCAGCCAAATACTAAGTCTATAGTTTTCCACTCAAGTGATGGGGGCATGTTTGGATATCTTATTTGTATAATTAGATATAACAGGACAATATATTACAAGAAGAAAATTATGCTCAGGATTTAACCTGATATATTCCACATTAATAAATCTCCACATATGCTCTCTCGATGGGATCCAAATTCTTGCAAGCATTGTAAAAACTGATAAGCAGTACTCCCAGATTCTGGGGGTGTTGGACTGAGTAACTTATGGTTTGTGTTGATTTTGGTGCCCTCTACAGGCAATGGTTTGCTCCTTATATCTTCACTGATCTTGTTCTTCACATTCAAATTCATGTTATCTTTTACAGTTTTCTCATTCTGCTTTCTAAGAACAACCAGATGTGTCTCACATATCATGAATATTTGCTGTTTAAGTGTAAAGAAAGGCTGATTCTTCTGTGTGCTGTCAATCACTGGGTCTGATGCCAACCCCTAACAGCAGAGACAGGCATTGAAAATGACAACACAGACATTGCCCTTCTTTCTAAGTGTTGTTGCTAGTGGTCTGGTTTGCTTTTGTAGTTCATTAAAAGGCATCAGTATCAATTTCTATCGGTTTCACAGTCAGTTAAAAACTCCTCACAGGTGCTTTAATCCGCATAGTTGTTTACTGTCAGTAACTGCAATGATGTTATAACTGCCAGTTATAAAGGTCAACTTATATCATAGATTAAAAAACAAAGACTAAAAATCATGTTGAGTCACTCTCCGCCCATGTATGACCTCTGCCACTGGAGAGCCGCCTACAAACCCCCCAAAATTGGAAGTTGCACAGTACAGTGTCACTTTCAATTGCTTTCTTTATGAAAGTGTAAAAGTTGGTGTTACAGTTTGTTTTTATTTTTTTATCTTTTGCAGAAATTGTGCAAAAAACTTTCAAAGATACAGAAAGTTGTTCACAAAAGACATGTTTGCCATTGTTTCTTCCCAATAATGAACACAGGTTTGTTTGTTGATGTACGTAATGGTGGTGGTTTAGCTTGAGAAGGAGTCGTGCATTTCTTGTTTAAGATATCTACTTTGGTTTGGGGTTCTTCATCTGACATCCATCAGTGTCCCTCTTCAGAAAATCTGCAGATTTAGACTTAGTCAAAAACCACCATAGCCAAAAGTTCAGTGTCATTTAATTTCAACTTTACCAGTTGTTCTAGTTGAGCTTCATTCAGGTTGAGATGAGCAAACTGCTGCCTCAGTTGAAATACCAATCTCACAAAGATGTCTGCAAGTCAAATCCTGGTTGTTAATTCACTTCCAAAGCTATTACAGCACAAGGCAGGCAGTTAGGCTGGAAAGTTCACTCCACAAGGTCTGTCATTAGGAGTAGACTTGTGAAGGAGTCGCTTACAGTATATGTATGCTCAGAAGATTCAGAGCTGCTTCAAAATCATTTATTCACTGAAAAAGTCACATTTCAAAATAAAAGCTGTTTTACATGCACGCGCAGTGAGGTTAGTTGGGTTTTATTCTGTGAAGAAAATCTGATCAAATTTGAGTGGTAAGAGAAATGCTGCTCTTTAATAGACCCTCCGTTTTCTCTCTTTTTTAGAATCAAACACTAAAAACGAGGTTTTCCTCGGTATTATTACTCATGAAGCTTTGACTGCTTTGATTTCATTTTCAGGGAGATGGAGTGCTTCACAACATCCCTTTCAGATGTCTTGTTGGCAGCATTTTACCTGCACACTGGGATTCTTTAGACTAATTGAAGCCCATACAGACAATCCCGAGTTTTGTTTCATTTTTTAGTCTAGTCTGTACTTAACTACACAGGTCCTTCTCTTCTTCTCCAGAACCAAAACCATACATTCTCTCTCAGCTTGGCGCCGTGACCTCTCAGGAACGGCACAAACACGCCAAAAGATAAAGTGTGTGATATTTGCCAGAGCCAGATAGCTCAACACACACAGACCTCAGTGTGCCCAGGTGTTAAAATGCTTCTGCAGCATGGGAGAAATTTTCACACCCATTCATTTTCACTTTTTTTTTCTTTTTCCTTGAAGTAAGTCTTCATTGCAGCAGATTTGCACCAACATGGTTGTAGGATTTTGAAGGATTTGACTTTTAGGATTGAGAATGACCCAACAGGCTGTAGAGGATGAAGACTCTGCACATGTTCAAGTGCACAGTCATTTTAATTATTTAGTCTGCATCAAAAAATACATGTTTTTTTTTTTCCAGCTAACAAAGAAGACACCTGCTGTGATCTCCTCACACTGTACTGGCAGAGTTTGTCCTTTTGCAGCTTTTAATCAACATCGGTCCCAGATCATCTGTGAGAGACGGCTCTGATTCTGATGAGATGGTTGGTTGGTATGACATTTTTACAGAGCCACTGTATTCAGTTGTTCCTAAAAAAAATTTAAAAAAGGAAGTAAAAAAAAAATATTTTGAGTATCGTCATTTTTCTCTAGTGAAAAGATTTTAACATCCATAAATAAAAGAGGGGTTAAAAAAGTGAACATTGTAAGCTTATTTTTTTATTTTTAATCTCAAATAATAACCTGTTTTCCTTGAATGGCCTATTACATCATGTGACCTGATTTTTACAGTCCATACATTTTAAGATGAATTATGTTTATTTTTCATTCACTTCATTTTCCCTATGAGTTAAAAAAGTAGGGATTCCTTAAGTTAAATTTTAAAGGCAATTGTATAAAGTCATGTTTATATATCTGAAAATAAATAAGGAAAAACAGGAAAAACGTGCTTTTTCTTGTTTTGCATAATTAACCAATCACCAAACCCCTTAATAATCCCTCATCGCCCCTGATTGGATCTAGCTTTATGACGCACAGTGTAATTAAAAAAATAAATAATAAAAAAATGATCCTCAAATGTTGAATCATCCAGAGACAACTGTGGCGCTCTCAGAACAGACCAATAATAGAAGAGTCAAATAATTAATTTCATTATTATTATTCTTTTTCTAAACTTGTGCAAACCTCCGCCGTGTGATGTGGGCGCGTGTCCGGCCGGTCTTTTGCCCCCCCACCCCCACCACCCCTCCCGCAGTGACTGACGGTCTAAACGCGGGGTGTCTCTGTTATAAACGCTGCAACTGTGCAACCTAAAGGTCGCCAGCGGTGAAGTGACAGCTTACACGCAAAGCCTTCAGAGAATCAATATGGTGGCAGCCAGAGTTCCAGCGGCCCATCATCGACCATCAGCTGAGGCCAATAAGACGATTCTCTAACTGGTACCGTTCAATTTGCTCCTGCGGCGCCCTTAAACCTAATAAAGCGATTGATTGTTCCTGTTTGCGGTGGATGCGCCGCTCGCGTGCATCCCCGCACACTGAGTGACGTGTTTAACCATCGCTTTGATCTGATGGAGGCGGTTTGTTTGTCGAAAAGGTTTGGAAAAGGCCTGATTACAGGAGGACAGGGGGGTCTAATTGGTTTATCCTGTCTTATCTCTTTGTATTCTTCTTATTCTGTTTCTAGATCTGTCACTTTGTTTTAGACCGGGGCTGCTGGTTGATAATTATCTTAAGTCCCTATTAATTTCATATCAGCTTGCAATGTGGAGTCATTCGGCTCATTAGAGAGCAGCTGAGGCCTCAGTTTGCTCTTTCTGCAGGCTGTGGCCTCACTTTGTCGCCGCCTGGTGCTCAAACGCTGTCTGCATCTCATGCTGGAGACTCCGATCAACAGAGAGAAGTCCTCTGCACTGATTTACGCAGTTTGTCGAAAAAAACCACACTTTACAGACACACAAAAATGCGATATTAGAAAAGTGATCCTGAATTCAGTGAAGGGATTTTAACAGTGCAGTACCGCTGGGAAAAAGCAACCTTTGAATTATTATTTCTTTTTATTAAAAGTAGAAATTTAAAAAAGGAAACGTTTTTTATTTGCATGCTGGAAAAAAAGTCAGCAGGTTGCAGGAAAAAAATAGTCAAATTGTAATAATTAGAATACTTACAATATAAAGGCCACTAAAAATACAGTTTTATGTAAACCAGAGCATCCAACTGAATTATTTTTCTTATGCAACTCGTAGAAATGTAAAGAAATTTAAAAACGAGTTACAAACTGGACTTTTTTTTTCTTCTAGTGCGTAAATCCGGGAAAAACCTTTCCGCACGAAAATGCCTCTGGTAAATCAAATTTATTTATTGTCTGCACATTTCATGCAAAAAGAATGAAACAAACGAAATGAATGCAGTGGTTGTGTTGCTTTGAGAAATTACAATAGAACTATAGGCACAAACCTACAAATCCGGTTGAATATCTTCATGCTTCTTCCATCAATAATCACCTTAAGGACCGTCGTCATCATCCACCTGCTGAGGAGGAAGAAGAAAGAAATAGCACAATAATAATAACAATAATAAAAGTAGGCTAGCCCCGCTGTATGATTCATCCTCAAATTCCGGAAAAGTGCGGAGGCTGATGTGGAGAAAGAAGGAAAAAAATCGATGTGCAAAAACAAAATTTTTGCGTGCAAAGAAAAAAGAAATCTGAGGAGCACGAGCGTGCATTCACCTCTCTATCTGAGAAAAGTGTCTCTCCCCACGATCACACACATGATACGGAGAGTGTGCACACACACACACAGCCTCCCTGCATACACTCTGTCAGCTGCACGCGCCGCACTTTCCCCCCTCCATAATATCCCTCAAATCCACGTCGTTGGGGGAAAAGTGCTGAATTTCCTACTACCTTTGAACGTTCATTAGCACCTAATAATGACTTGACTAATTAGGATGACATGGTTATTAACAGGATGCGCTGTCATGACAGTCACCAGCAATCCTCCTCGTGCCTAAATCTGAACACCTCGTGCGCTGAGAATATATCCATGAACGGAGATGCCATCCCTGACACCGCGAGCGCACAGGATGCAGTGCAGGGACGCAGTTTCACATTTTAGAGATCATTTTTTTCAACCTAGTTTTATATCTAAAACCAGGTCTGAAACTGGACTAATTGAAAAAGTGTCAGCGGTGGAGCCTCTGAAACTGTTGCTCACATCTCAAATGCTTTGGGAAGTGAAACAAGCTGGATAAATATAATGGAAAGATGCAAAATTCAAACCATTTGTGAAGAAAAATGAGATATATATATAATTTATTCTGCCATAGTGCTGGAGCCACTGTAGGATTTTTCTTCTTTCAGTTTGACTGAAGCAAATAATTGAAAGCTCATTATTAATTTTCCCTCTTTTTAATTTTCCATTGTAGTATTTTTTTTCTAAATAAAACTCTCTACAGCATGGCCTTTGAGCACATGCCTGTTTCCCCAGCTTTACTTTTTCTTTTTTTTAAAAAAAAGAGCTATTCCAGACTTAAACTCAATTCAATGGTTGGCTTGAACTGTCTAGATAAAGAAACAACTCCCTGATTGGTGAGGTGCCGGAGCCGGTCAGGATGAGAGCCAATGGCAGCGCAGGGAAGAGGAGAAGAGGGGGAGAGGAGAGGAAAGGCGTCGAGTGTTTATTATAAAGGAGAAAATATTAATTCCCCCTCGCCGTGGGCCGTGACGTCAGTATAGGAAGTCATTGTAGAGCAACACTGGAGCGATTAGCAGCAAAAAGGGGGAGCCTGATGTCGAAGAGTCAGCCCTATGTATATCTCTCTATACGCCTCAACTTTTAACACAAAGTTCAATATCCAAACACAAAAAGCGACGTGGACTACGCAGACCCACACATTTCTTTTCCGCATTTTCCCTGAATGTAACACTTTGGACCATACACAGGCTGCTGTGTGAGCCGCTTTTAAACGTGGATTTTGTTTCTCTCTTGGGTTTATTTGTCAGCTCTTTCCTTTTTTAACATTTTTTTTCTACCTCCGACTTAATTTTGCTGACTTTCTTCTGATCTAAGGAGAAGCGTCTCACTGTTGTTATGAAGGCTTCTGCTCTCCTTTCTTAACATGGAAGCATCCAGCGGGTCGAGTTTTGGGATAGACACTATTTTATCCGGCGCGTCAAACTCTGGTAACCCCGTGCTAATGAACGGAGACTTTCGGCTCGGCGACAGCAGGACAGCGGATTTCAGGAGCCAGGCGACCCCGTCACCATGCTCGGAGATAGACACTGTGGGAACGGCCCCCTCATCCCCCATCTCGGTCACCATGGAGCACGCCGCCGATGCGCATCTGGTCCAGGACAGCCTTCAGCATCACCACCACCTCCACAGCCAGGCGCAGAGTATACCGTTGTCGCCGCAGCAGCAGCCGCTCGCCGGGGCCGGCTGCGCCCCGAGGACTGCCACCTCCTCCTTTCTAATCAAAGACATTTTAGGAGACAGTAAACCACTGGCAGCCTGCGCACCTTACAGCACCAGTGTTTCCTCACCACATCACACGCCAAAACCAGAAAGTGCCACGGCTCCGGACGGCTTCAGGCCCAAGTTGGAACAAGACGAAAACAGAAGCAAGTTGGACAAAAGAGACGACATACAGAGTGAAATGAAATGCAACGGTAGGAGTTTTATTTGTTTTATCTCAGACGCTTGTTAACAATTGTCTTATTTAATGTAATGAGAGTGTAATAAAACTATTTCAGGCTACAGAAAAGCGTAGCCAACTAAACCAAACAAAATATTTAACAGTGTTTGACCAAAAATACCAGAAATAGTGAACAACTGATAGTTAAAAATATGGTAAAATACAGCATTTTTATTTAGCATTCTTCTTTGTCTGGGTCTCAGCCTCCTTTATTAGTCTAATAGATGTGAAAACAGATGTAAGCCTGGTGATTTTCCCCGCGCGCAAGGCCTCCCTAGTGGGTCAATTAGAGAGATTATTGTTCTTCCTGGAGGGGGGATCATGGAGCACTGAAACACAGCTACAAATAGAGATGGATTGACATATTGATTTCTCGTTTTCTGAAAAAGAGGAAGAAAAAAAACTTCAAGTGACAAATTCACACAAATTTCTTCTTATCGCTTTGCGTCTGAACCACACGTGTGCGTCAAATACTTGAGGGGGAATCCGCCTGCTGCTGCAGAAGTTTGTGAAGTTTATCTGGAGGCGTGAGATGATTTGTTGTTGTATTTCTGAGCCAATAGTTTGAAATGAAAATAGCCAGAATTTCTGACAAGCTCCTGAGCACATTTTCCAAGCAGGCCCGCTGACTCTTCATGTCTGTGTTAGGGACTAAAGAAGAGGGGGACCGGGAGATCTCCAGCAGCAGAGACAGTCCACCGATGCGCACGAAAAAGCCTCGCAAAGCACGGACAGCCTTCACCGACCACCAGCTCAACCAGCTGGAGAGGAGCTTCGAGCGACAGAAATACCTCAGCGTGCAGGACCGCATGGACCTGGCCGCGGCTCTCAACCTGACAGACACACAAGTCAAGACCTGGTACCAAAACAGACGGTAGGAGAGCACAGACTCATCACTGAGAGAGCCATTAATAGCAGACACAACAAACACACACACACACACACACACACACACACACACACACACACACACACACACACACACACACACACACACACACACACACACACACCAAGGTTCCTGAGGTGCAGAAACAGCATTTTGGTATTTCTTTATTAGGAAATTACCCACGTGAAAAGTTTGGAAATCATCTGACGTGCACGTGGATATTTCATCCTTTAAAAAATAATCTCAGCATATTTCTCTTTAAAATATGAGTCACTGACCTTTGAGAACCTTTTCAGTCTGATGCTCAAATTATTATTTCTTATTTATTAAACGTTGAAGTTTTTAGGGTTATAAACTAAAAGTCTGATTTGTTTAGAAGCTTTTATTTTGTGTGATCTTGTGCGCACACGCAAAATTTAGATCAAAAACGTTCTTGGTCCACACTTTGTTTTGAAACGTCCTTTATCAATACAAGTTGCTGTTATTATTTTTCTATATGCTCTATTATCTGCTGTAATTGTAGTGTCAGTAAATCACAGAAAAATCTCATTTTTATTTCCCTGGTTGAATTGATCCTCACCTCAGATTGGCAATGTGACGAATCCATAAAAATAAATAAATAGATAAATAAAAATAAAAGTTCTGGCTGATTTATGTCCAGTTAGAATTTTGGGAAACTTGAGAATAGAAATGCTCTGATATTTATCCTCGTAGTTAATTGCGTCACCAATCTTTTGGCAATTATACACATGTATTTTTTTTTTTAATTATAATTATTTTTGTTTTTTTAGAGACATGTCAGTGTTACCTTAATTGTCTCAACGCTTCCTGTGGTTTATGCAAACGCTGAAGAATTCCTGGCGAAAAAAAATCCCTTCCCCTTAGATTTCTAGTCTACCTCTTTTCTTTGTTTTTTTCCAGAATAAAAGCATCTTTCGGCTCTTCATATCACAGTCTGTGTTAATAGTTAAAGGTGTGAGTGAAGTGTGCTTTGATAAGTTTGGACCAAAGCATTTAGTAAGATGACCCCTCCGCCTCATATCTTGGTATTTCCTTATTTTTTCTCAGCCTAATTAAAGCTTACGCATAAATTGGTGCGCGCCATAATTAGGCCTCTACGTGCCAATTAAAGGGCCGTTTGGGGAATTAAGGAGAGCGCGAAGTGATTCAATAATTCATCTGTTGTATTTTGATCTGATTTCCAGGACGAAGTGGAAGAGGCAAACGGCGGTGGGATTAGAGCTCCTGGCTGAAGCAGGAAACTACTCGGCCTTACAGAGAATGTTCCCGTCGCCATATTTCTACCACCCCAGCCTGCTAGGCACCGTGGACAGCACGACGGCAGCCGCGGCGGCCGCAGCCATGTACAGCAGTATGTACCGGACTCCTTCCACGCCACATCCCAGCCTCCAGAGACCTCTGGTCCCGAGGGTGCTCATTCATGGCCTTGGGCCGGGGGGGCAACCGGCACTAAACCCCCTCTCTAACCCCATGCCCGGCACACCGCATCCGCGATAAAACACGAGGAAAGACGAGCAAAGACGATGACCAGAAACCTGGTTGAACGAACACGTGATGTGATGTGAGTAACTGCATCGGATCCACATTGCAGGACTTTTTCTTCCCCCCCAAAAAGACCAATTTAAAGACATTCTACAGAAGTAAAGGAGGTATTTAATATAGGCCTAACAGCCCAGTCCTATCAAGACTCTCTCTGTCCAGGTCCAGACAGACTTCAGGACTGCTCATGTCTGATTGTTTGTTTGTTTGTCTTTTGTACAAATACACTTACATTAGCAAATAAACTTATAAAGTTTATTAGATGGAGAAGAAGAACGGAATGAATAAAGAAGTAATGATACTACTTCGGTTGTAGACCTTTCTATTTAAAGTCGACTTTAAATTTCTTTTATTTCCCCTCAAATTAAAAAAAAGACGAGAAAATATATAAACAAATTCATCCAAATCGGATTACTGATATACAACCCGGTGATTATAATCAGTCTAAATTGTTTCTTAGCTGTTAAATCAGATTTTATTCACCATAATTAAAAGTATTTCACAGCTTTTTGTACCTTTTTATTTCTGTTTTAAAAATAAGATTTGAGAAAACAAACCGTGGTGTAGGCAGCTCAACATTTTACACTCATTGTTTGCGTCTAATCCACATAATCCCAGACATTATTTTTGGCTGAAATAATTTAAATAAGACATCTAGATCCACCTAAATGCTTTTCAATGGGACCATATGCTCTTTAAATTTGAAAGAAAATGTAGTTTCAAACTTGATCACAGTTTGGAGGTCACTTTCTCCACGCCTTTACATTTGTGTCTAGCAGCACATATACATATGGATGCGCAGCAGCTGATTGGTGCTGGCCTGAATGGTTTTGATGAGTCGGGGATACTGGGAATGTGGCCTTGGCTTAGCAGCTGTTCCCTGGGAGCGCAGCAGACAATAAGCCTGAATTTCTCAGCGTGAGCGCTCAGGACAAGAAGCCTCCAAGAAAAAAAAAACCCTGCAGATAATCTGCCCAGTCTCAGGAACCAATAGCGGTTGGTGAACTTGTTTCAGGAAGTTTCCTGGGGAAATTAAGTGGACTGACTTAAGTGCGAGTTAGTCTATTTTTCATTGTCACTTTTAATTTTTGCATCCCTCTTGCATCATTGTTTTCGCATGTTTGCGTCATTTGGCACCTTTTCCTGAGATTGGCGCACCCATTCTTTATTTTTGTGTGCGTAAAAGTGATCGTCCCTCCCTTATTTTCAGCGTTTTGCTCAAGTGTGTCTTTGCTGCTGTGAGCTGCTTCTTGAAGAGCAGAACTAAACAAATAGAGCGCGTATGTGAAATTAAATGTTATCAAAACACTTTGATTATATTTAGCCTCCTTTGAGCGCGCACCCCGGAGAATATAGCGGGGGGGCTCTTCGTGTGAATTAGCGCCTCAGGGCTCGTTTGTTTGGGTTTCTCTTCTTTGAACATTATTACAGTGAGCCAAACTGACCTTTGCTGCTTTCTGTAAAAAAAGCAGGGAATAAATGCAAACCTGCAGTAGCCATGCGCACTCCATTTTTATCGTTTGACATAAAAAAACGAAGAGTTTATGAGCGCTTAGTCTTGCTGTCTTATTTTTTGGTTGCTGATATTTACATTCGGGTCATATCGGAGAAATATAAAGCTGAATTCAAATGCCAACCCTGGACTAAAATTTTAATATTTATCCACCAAGCAAAAAAGGTCATGCACATGAACCAACAGCCAAAAACACACACACGTGACAGTTTGCCAGTGATACCAGTAAACACAGGCTTAAGTTGAGCTGTTTATAATACTTTGAACACATGTTAATGTCGCATGTTTAAGCCATCTGCTTGTCATTCACTACGTGGACACCTCTCTCTGTCATCTTCTGCACTGCAGTCCCGCTGGATTCGTTTTCTGCAGTTTGCACGCGTGGAAAACTTTGAGGACACGTTAACCCCATTAAACGCGATATTTCCATTTAACTAAATAACCCGGATCACTTATTATTATCATTGTTGGCTAGAGTATTCACGGCACAATTATGGCGCGCTGTTGGTACAGTACTCTCAGACTAACTACACTAATACAGTGTCCTTTCTCATTGAATTCAGACTTTATGGATTAAAAAAAATCCTCAGCTGGATGAATCGCTTCTTCTTGGTCTTGTTGGAAATTACTACGAACACATCCCTGGCCGATATCGCCAATGTTGAAAAATATTAGCCTACCATATTGACCCTGCAGCTTGTGCCCATTACTGCAGTATAGAGCCGACGCATGTTGTTCATATGCATGACTTCTGCAGCATTATTTATTTATTGCACTCTGCGGGTGGGAGGGGTGGGGGTGTCGGCGGTTGTGCGGGCTGTACCAATTCATTAATAATAGCCTAAGCCATATACAGCAGCACTGAATTAATAGGCCGCTGCCTGCTTGTGTTACCTGGTAATTTTGGGCGTTGCTTTCATTTTTTGTCTGCGTATTTTTTTAAGCATTTGCACAAATGTATCGCTCGAGACAAAGCCGCTTTCAGTCAGTATAAAATGGGTCACAGTGAGGCTGAGTTAAACTGTCAGCTTGAGGCTTCCTGGCATGTCCTGCATTTGTTATTGAGTCGACAAGAGAATAAATAAATGTAAAATAATCTGCGTTATAATTTAAAATTCGCGTTTAAGGACTGTAGATCCTTAACAGATATATATATATACTGTATATAAACATTTTTTTACGATCGCGGGAATGCAAAAAAAAAAGATTAATTTCTACCAGATTTTTGAGTTTTTGTTGGTGAGGCCAAATGTTGTTTTTTGGGGGTAAGAGAAGAAATACTCGAGACAACACAATCGGTGGTGGAAAAAAGCGCAGCAGACTTGAATAAAGAGGATTAGGCCTTTCTTTTACATGGCGCATATTATCCACAACAGATGGGCTTTAGAGAGTCGTTTTCTTCTTCTTCTTGCCTCAAGGAACCTCGTTGGGCACTTTAATTGCCATTTTTTCCAACTGATGTAATGGTGGGATATCTTTTTCATTACAATAATGAGGTAACACTTGCTCTCCTTGGCCTCTCATTATCACATCTCCTACATCACTCACTAAACACAAATTTAACCCCACCCCCTTCTCCCCAAAAAATCGTCCCAACTTCTCCTATACATCTTGTGCGCTGTAATCAACAGCTGCTGGGAGCGCTCCCCTGCCTGTCTGCCTGTGTGCTCATGCACGCTACTACAACCCTTTTCATTAAGAGCCTGCAGGAGGATTTCAAACTCTGCATAATAAGCGTTTGACCAGCAGCGTTAACAAGGCCTATCACATTCTACTATGATTGCTTCTGCTGGAAAATCAAACCTAAGTGGGTGATTGGAGAGGGGGTGCTGCTTTTTGCCACCTGAACAAGTGCATGCATCAAGTTGGTGCATGGACTGATCACAGTCCAAAACACATAAAAACCAACCTGGGGGGAAATAGAGCTGGATGGTCAGCCTTGATATTTTCCTGCAAGCGCTTCCTCATCTATTTTCTCAATCATCAGCACTCTCTGAAACAGAAATCTGGAGGTTTGCTTCCAATTTTCCAAATGTCAGACCTTAAACATGTTGTAAGTGCCAGCCTCTCTTTATCTGCAGGATGTCTCTGAGAGGTGCAGGTGTCAACTCCAAGTGATGGTCAAGAAATATATAGGTTGCTGTTTTGTTTTTTCTTTTCTTTCTTTTTTTCCATTTAGTGCGTACATTTTTATGAACAAACTTATGAAGCAATTTCATAAAAGAGGAAAAAAAACTGATGTGGTCACTTAGAGACACCACAGTCCAGTGTAAATGTCCCAATTAAACTTAAAAATTTTCATTCATGTCATCAAAATTTTCCAAATAATTCAGTTGAAATTAAGAATATGAGTTAAAAGGGTTAACTTTATCACTAAGTTGATCTAATTTAATATAAACACAAGGCAGTGGATACTACTGTTCAAATTCAAAACTATGAGGTCTCATAGTTTGTATCCTCACATTGATTATCATGGAAACATGGTGTTGGCAAAACCACCAAATCGTAAATAAAAACTTACTTAACCAAAGGATTAAAAGAGCAAAACAACAAAACAAACAGGGTTCCTTTATTTCTTTCAAAATGGCACACTGGATGCTAGGTTCTTTTCTTTTGAGTTAAAACAACCTTTTTATATGAGAGGACAAATATATTTTTAAATCAATAATTAGTTTTGATTTTACAACTAATCATTCAAATATAAAATTAAATGTAATATGCCACTTTGAATTGCATTTAGAGGAGGCTACTATGTCTTATAAAGCTTTGTTATCCAAGAAAAAGACATAGAAGTCAGGACCATGTAATGCAAAGACATAAGAAGCCATTATTTTACTGCTTCTTCTTCATATATGCAAAGGGTTGCCGTGCTCTCTGACCTGGTAACATGCCACATCTGTCCCTCTATGTTGATAAAAGAGGTTAGATCACCAGAAAGTATGTGATTTAAAATGGTGTGTCACAGCTTCCCCTAACTCAAAATGCTGCTTAAAATAATTTTTTTAAAGCAGAGAGTCTCAGACTTGTTGACACGGTGCCTGTAAGCCATCCACTCCCCATCTCATAAACACCCACCTCACGTCTGAGCCCAGACTTGCACGGACATCTGCAACCGTCCTGCTGAATGATGCCGTATAGCTGCGACATATCAGAGTTTAAATGGCCTCATCATTTCAGCAAATCCAGCCAGTTTCTCTCTCTCTTTTTGTCAAGTGACAGGACAGCTGATGGCAGAGAAGCTCCGCTACCTTTCAAGTTTCAACCAGGCGCCGTCACATGCGACCGCACAACCAAGAAGAAAAAAGTCTGTCAGCAGTGATGTCAAAAGCTTCAATTTTTACAGAGCAATTAGGGGTTTCATCACAGCGGAGTGATGTCAGGATTCATTACGGCTCAGCAACAGCTAATTGCTTCAAGGTTAAAGTAACAGATCTGACGGCATTATATTTTAAGTGACAGACTCAAATTCTGGTGGTGTTTCACAGAGCACAGCGCTGACATAAGGGAGTGTGCTGGAGAGGAAAGGGGGCTGAGGAGGAACTGAAATGACTGCTATTTAGGATTGTGATTGGTTACAGTAGCAGTGACTCTTAGAAACAAACAGAGAGACTGAGGTTTGGCTATGACTGAAAACAAAGGACAGTGCTTCATTAATGTCCCAACATCTTCTCAAGTTCTTTTTTCAAACATCTTTGTCCTTTATGGGTAGACTGCTGAGTATTGACGAGGATGAATCACATTTAGTCCCATTAACAGTTGTCCTCTTTGCTGGTTAGGCAACAGAATTACTC